CCTGGGCTCAAGCGATCCTCCTGCCTCAGCCTCCCGAGTAGCTGGGACTACAGGCATGCGCCACCATGCCTGGCTCTTTTTTTCTATATATTTTTAGTTGGCCAATTAATTTCTTTCTATTTTTAGTAGAGACGGGGTCTCGCTCTTGCTCAGGCTGGTCTCTAACTCCTGACCTCGAGCGATCCTCCCGCCTCGGCCTCCCAGAGTGCTAGGATTACAGGCTTGGGCCATCACGCCCGGCCCTGAGCAAACAGAAGTGAGTGGGAGAGGCCATTCTCCATATTCTCCATGAAAAGAAATGAGATCAGCCAAGACACCGAGACAGAAAAGCAGAGAAAAGCAGATCAGCTACTGGTGCAAAGCCTCATTGTGCAGTCAACGGTGCAAGCAGAAATCATTGAACATAAGCAAATCAAAACACACAGCTTTTTCTATTTTTAAAATATTTTCTCCAATGTAAAAATGGTTAGCCACCATACACTGCAGTTCAAAAGTTGTTGTATGTTTCCATTTATAAAAGAACTCTATTTGGTCTTCTAATGAAAGGCTATTTAGTATACATGCTTCTCTTCTAAAAGCACCAAAAAGAAAACAAAACTTCCCACTTCAGAGCAGGGATGGAAAAAAATTAGGAAGGGATTATTATAATCTACTGATTCTCTAACCCATCTGTTTAATTCAAAAGGTTCTATTAGCACTGAGTAAATGAACTTGATCGCAAAAGAAAATGTAAATGGCAAAGTAACACTTTCCCAAACTCAGTGACTTCAAATAAGTCCAATGTTTAAAATACCTTTTATTTAGAAACAAGCTACACCACTACAAAGTCTATTTCTATTTTTTTCTCATGGAAAAATCTTATTTTCAGAATATACTCACCCATATAAAAAAAAAAAAACTTGGTAAATAATGGTATCATAACTTTTAAAAAATAAATCATTTCAAATCATACCTTAAAAACACTACCTGTTGGCACATTGCAAAGAAAAAAAACCTTCTATTGGTGCTCAAATAGAAGAAGGCTTAATAACTAAAATGGACTAATTGGGAAAATTACAACTTTCCACAGGCGAAAAGATCTGAGCTGAAAATTAATGAACAATTAGCCCATAAAGTGTTCAAGGAAAGAAGAGTTGACCTTAGGTGATAAAAACTGGGAAGGATTTGGACTGGGTGACCCCTGAGAGTCTCTGACACCCAACTCTTTTTTTTTTGGAGACAGAGTCTCACTCTGTTGCCCAGGCTAGAGTGCCATGGCATCAGCCTACCTCACAGCAACCTCCAACTCCTGGACTCAAGCGATCCTCCTGCCTCAGCCTCCCTAGTAGCTGGGACTATAGGCATGCGCCACCATGCCTGGCTTAATTTTTTTCTATATATTTTTAGTTGGCCAATTAATCTCTTTCTATATTTAGTAGAGACAGGGGTCTCGCTCTTGCTCAGGCTGGTCTCGAACTCCTGACCTTGAGCGATCCTCCCGCCTCGGCCTCCCAGAGTCCTAGGATCACAGGCGTGAGCCACCGCACGCCCGGCCGATCCCCAACTCTTGATCTCTAACTGGATATCGCTTTTTGAGCACAGCTTCTATATTCCCTTACCATCAACATGTCTTAATATTAAAGTCATTATCTTTCCCATCCTGTCTTCATTTTTACAGGTCAACATTCTGGTCCGCTATTCCTCCTAAACACCTGCCGTTTATTTCGTTCATCTCTTATGAAATCTCACTAGCTCTTCAAACGCTACAAGATAAAAACCACATTTTTTAACCCTGGCAGCCCAGGTTCTATACATCTCCAGCTGTCTTTTTGTCTGTGCAAACCCCAGGGATTGCTTAGAACATGCAAACACCCAGCCCCATGTCTTACATATCCTATTCCCTCAATAAATACCTTTCATGTTGATTTCACATCACTCGCCAGTTCAAAGGGCTAAGCAGTGATGTGGCAGATTGCAGCTCACCCTGCAGAAAAGTTTCTGTTCATGTCTTTCGCCCACTTTTTGATAGGGTCGCTTGATTTTTTTGCTTGCTGATTTTCGTGAGTTCTAAATAGATTCTAGTTATCAGCCCCTTACCAGATGTGTTAGGATGCGAAAATTTTCTCCCATTCTGTAGGGTGTCTGTTTGCTTTCATGACTGTTTCTTTGGCTGTGCAGAAGCTTTTTAGTTTGATCATGTCCCATTTGTTTATTATTTTTGTCGCTGCTGTGATTGCCTTTGGGGTCTTCTTCATAAATTCTTTGCCCAGGCCGATGTCTAGGAGAGTGTTTGGGGTGGGGGTGAGGGTATATACATACATCATGAGTGAGATGTGCACCGTCTGGGGGATGGTCATGCTGGAAGCTCAGACTTATGGGGGCAGAGGGGGAAAGGGCATTATTTGAAACCTTAAAATTTGTACCCCCATAATATGCAGAAATTAAAAAAAAAAGATGACCTAATAATTTGAATAGTTCGTTACATAAATTCTTCAGTGTCTTTGTAGATGAAACTACTCAGACCCTCACTGCCCCTCCTCCTTGCTCTAAGATGCCATCCAGGTGTGGTTTATACCTCCCACTCCATGTCATACACCGCGTGGACACACGTGGATCACACCAGAGTGGACAGGGAGACTTGGAGTCCTAAGGCACCATGGGTCAATGCCACTCTTAACCTCCTGTGTGCCGCTTGTCCCGTTGCCTCCTAAGTTAGACTCCTCTTTGCTTGAGAATGACTCACGTTTGACCCTGGTGGAAACTACATTTCTCCTTCCACTGCCTCTATGGAAAGCTCCAGACTAGACTCTCAAAGACCCCTATCTCTAGCTATGCCACAGAGAAGCAGTGAGTGGCCAACGGCAAAATCAACCTCACCTCCTCTCTCTCCCTGACCTCATTGTTCTGCCAACAAACCTCTATTGAGTGCATAGACCCTTTTTATTAGCTATCTGGTGGTTGGAGTTTTTTTTTTTTAATATTGCCTAAGAATTATTAGATTTTTTTAAAATTTGACATAAAAACCATCACTTGATCTTGAAAATTGTGCTTTAGCAGGAAGAAAAAAACAAAGACAATATCGTTCTGCGCCATTTGGACGGGAGAAGACATCAAGAGCCATCACCTAAAGAGAATGTCGTCCAGGAAAGAGAGAAAAATGTGTCCCTTTCTGAAGCCAGTGAAAATAACCAACGTAGTGGTGAATCTCCGAATCTTCTCGCAAATGGACAGACACTGAGTGAAGACTATAGTACCGGTAACAAGGAGAATGTGCATGATGACCTAAAGATGTCCATTCATCCCGAATCACCTGGGAACAAAGGGACTGAGGAAGGAGACGAAACTATCAGCAAACTACACGATCAAGAGGAATACAGCTCAGCTCTCATAAGAAAAAATCTGCAGCATAAAATGGGGCCAGTGAGTGTGATTAAACTCTTGGGGGAAGAAAACAAGAAGAACACACCTAGGAATGTTCTCAACAAGATCCCAGCCGGTGTGAACTACGCTAAAGCCCGCTCAAAAGATAAAAAGACTCCTCTGAGAGATCCCCAAGCCCGGAAAAGCCCAATAAAAGCCAAAAGCAGCCCTTACACCCAAGAGAGCACTCACTACCTAAAACATCTCTCCAAAGTCAAAAAAATCCCCAGCGATTTTGAAGGTAGCGGGTATGCAGATCTTCAAGAGAGAGGGGACAATGATATCTCTTCCTTCAGTGGGGACGGCCAACCCTTTGAGGACATTCCTGGCAAAGGAGGAGCTCTTGGTCCTCACCCGGAAGGGGTTCCAGGCCCAGGAGAGGCTGAGGCTGTCACTCATGACACGAGAGGGCCAGGTTATAATGAGATCCCAGAGAGAGAAGGAAATGGTGATTACACCGTTGGAACCAGGGACGACACGGCGAAAGAGCGAGATGCTGTTGACATCAGCCTTGTGGAGGGCAGGAACGACATCATGGGTAGCACCAACTTCCAGGAGCTCCCCGGAAAAGAAGGAAACAGAGTGGATGCTGGCAGCCAAAACGCCCACCAAGGCAAAGTAGAGTTTCACTACCCTCACGCACCCTCCAAAGACAAAAGAAAAGAAGGCAGCAGCGATTCAACTCGAAGTACCAATTACAACGAAATCCCTAAAAATGGCAAAGGCAGCACGAGAGAGGGCAAGGAACGTTCTGACAGGAACCAAGGAACCGTTCGCGAAAAGCAAAGATATTCCAGTAAGGGCGAAAGCCAGGGCCCTCTGGTTCCTTCTCGTGGTCTTGACGATGAGGCTCAAAACGAAATAGGTCCCCATCATGGCCCCAACAGTGCAAGGGGTCTGACAACACACAGCAGGAAATATCACGGAGTACCCCACGGACAAAATGATTCTGCGCGAAACAACGGCATGCCACAGAGAAGAGGCCCCGGGGGTCACAGAAGACCCCATTTCTACGGGAGGTTTAGTTCCCCCAGAAAGGATGACAGTAGTGAGTCATCGTGCTGCAGTGCAGTTCCAGTGAGAGCGACGCGGTGACTAGCCACCAAGGAATTGCAGCGGGTGGCGGGTGAAGAGCCGGATCTGTGAGTTGTCACCGAAGAGAGCCACCTGGCAGCAACCCAATAAGAGGGACAGAGCGGGGGTGGGGAATGGGGGGGTGGGGAATGGTGAGCCAGGAAGCCTGGTCTGCTTGGGGGGATTTTGCTGTTTTAATGGTCATAGCATGAATCGTATTCAAGTTATAATGCTCTTTTTTTTTTTTTTAGTAAACAACAACGAAAAAAAAAACTCATTAAGGATTGATGAAAGTGTAACATTTGAATAGTGTGTCATTTTTAAACTAGTTTGTGAATGTGACAAAGCTTTGGCATTGTGGGTTGCTCTGTAGACATTGAAATAAACAATCTCCTCTTCTCTTTCTCATTCTGGTTAATTTGTATTAAATGATCGTACAGAACTGCTGCTGATTTCGGTTGCTTTCATTTCAACAAGATTAGCTCTGCCTTGGGCAAAGACAGTGCCTATAGAATGAATGCCCCGAGAAGTAGAACCATCTTTGTTTTTCCTCTGACCCTCTCGTGCTTACAAAAATTTCCTACTTATATTCTCCTAGGCGTTCTCTGTCGCACATTGTAACTTCTTATAAAAGGCAGGTTGTATCTCCTGAACAATCTGGCATGGTTTATTTTTCCCAATTCTCGCTCTTCAGCCAGGAGGGGTGACAAGGGTGGGGAGGGCAACAGGGAGAAGTCTGAGAGACACAAGATGCGAAGAAGACAGAAACTGGTGGCAGGGTGTGCGTTGCTGTTCCAACTCTTCCAGCTATTTCCTTTCTGTGTTTAGAGAAATGCTTTGTTTTTTTCCAGCTATGGTGGCCTTGTTCACTGTTGGAAATTCGCCTAAAGTTTGTGTGAAAGAGGGGGAAGAATTAGGGAAGGGTTTTGTTGTGCCCTTGATAAGAGATTCATCACAGCTGGTTACGCCTTCCTTCCTTTTCTCTATCTCTCTGATCGTTGGTCTACGTGGCGCGATGGCAGGAGTGTGGCAGCATCTTGGGCGATGAAGCAAGGCAGAATAATCATAGGGGTGCCACTGAGCCAGCTTCATCAGCCTCCTCCCTCAACGGTCCTTGTTCTATGAGAAAAATTCTCTATTGTGTTGAGCCCGTTTTTTGTTTGTTTGTTTTTTTTGGTAATTGGTAGTCTGATTTGATTTTCGTGGTAAACACTTTCCCTTCTCTAATTTTCTAAAATGAGGAGGCAGGAGAAGAAGAAGGGAGAAATAGAGAACTAGAAGAAAGAAAGTCAGCATGATTTCTCTGTCTCCGTTAAGATCTAAGCTCCAAAGCAGAAAGCAGGCGGACAGAATTATGCGATTGCGCATTTATACGAGCATTAGTGATTATTATTTTATATTTTATGAGTTGAATAAGGTGTGTAGCAAAAGTGAATAGTTCAGATTCAAATAGCCAACATGCGCGTCAAAAAATTATAACGCACACATGGGGTGATAGAAAGTATTTTTGTTTACCAATAAAGGAGTCGGCGATTAAACTATGGAAGATGCAGTTTCTCCACATATATAATATCACTACATGATCTGCATAAGTTCTACCAGGTTGCCATGATCTGTCTAGTATCCTGTATTGTTCAAGTACTCTATAACATTGGGGACATGGAATTTCATTCTTAACAGGATGAGGAAACTGAGCACGCAACTGGTAATAGGGTGGGCAGCTAGAAGCGTAGAATTATGCCAGGGGAGTTTGGCTCCAGACTCTTTGCTTTAATATATATGTCATTTGAGTAAAGATTAGATGGACATAGTGCATAATTTCAATTGACGTATATGGTGTGTTACAACATGGAAGACGTGTGTTACATTCATGCCACTATAGTACATATGTGTGCGTGAGTTGCGTGTACACAGAGGAACTTGAAAGGAAATGCTGAGTGGCTGTGATGCTGGTTCAGCCCCCTCGCCTCCAAGATCAGAAGAAGAAAAGGCTCGTGAGACAGCGCAGAGGCAACGTCCAGCCCCTATGAAAGTACAACACCTGGATGTCGCCGTTAGAAGTTTCAGTTCGGGATTCCCCAAAGATGCCGCGCCTCATATCTTTAATAAAGCAAAGGTCACAGTGGAAATCCAGCTCTTCCCACCAAAATCCCTGGTCGCCTCAAACAGTATAAAGCGCTACCCCTTCCATCGGACTCGATCTTCTCGGCCACCTTGCCTGGACCCGGAAACTTCACCGGATGCGCTCAATAAGAGTCATGGTTGTTTGGCGTGCTCCTCTTGTCTCTCTCTCTCGGTCTTTTCTTTCACCCCGAACTTTATAGAGCCCTCATTTGTCTCCAGGCTTCTGATATAACTAGAGATCGGTGATCAATGGAAACCTAATCCAGTGTCATCAAATGTCCCCATTCAGATTCCAGAATAGATATTTATGCTTAGTACGTTTACCTTTTTTATTTTTGTTAATAAAGACTGTTTGGGAGGAAATTCGCCACTCAAAATTGGACAGAGCCATGAATGAAGGAAAAAAACTATTCAGATTGCCATTATGAGGCGCTAATCCAGACCTGCTACTTATTTTTTCCAGTGATACAGACTTTGTTACATTGATGATCCTGATCAGAATAAACGACATGTAGTAGTAAAGGGGAAAATGTGAACGAAGAGAAAAACGATGTTGCTTTCTTTGGGATATACAGGGTGGTACGCTCCCAACAGTTCATCTGTCCTAGCCTGCCTATCTGTGGAGAAACTGTGCCATTTTTCTTCTGGTCAGGGATGCTGGTTTTTCTTCAGGACTGGAGAGTTCGTTTGGTACAGGCAGTTCCTCAAACTGGATTCGTTATATTTGTTTCTCGATTGAATCGGGGGAACGGAAAATTTCGGGAGCTGGGAAGTGTATGCTATTGGATTGCGAGCATGGAGGAATTGAGTCCAGAACATGGGATGGACAAATCCCGGTTTCACTATACGCTTTGCACTAGTCTTCTATTTAAAAGGTTATAATCGAAAATAAACAGAGATGTTCGAATAGGGCTAGAAAATTTCAGGCCTTTGTGTGTAGCACCTTTATAAAGGATGATGGGAAATGGACTTGATCTGCCTTTTCTTTTTTTTTCATTTTTTTTTGTGCCCAAAGAGAAGTTTTTTCTGTCCTGGACCGTTCCAGTTCTTGTACTTTTATTTGCCAAACTGCTACTCTTTACGCCTCCTGCGTTCCAGAGTTCTCTGCTTGTAGACTCGACTTGATTTTGACCCGAATCCATCTGTTCTTAGGCAACCCAGCAGTTCAGCGGAAGATAGCTGGTCCTGTGGAAATGACCACGTCTAGCTCAGTTGGAAAAAACGTTCTCTGCAATGAGACCATTTTGCAAAAGTTCTGGGGGGATCAAAGAGAGAAGAGATGTGCCTGCTCTTGATCAAGCTAGGATTGTCAGTAGGAGAAAAGCAGACAAAGGGCAAGGTGAACGTGGGCAAGTTGAATATGGAATATAAATAAAGGACGGTCTCTGCAGCAGTCCAGGAGCAGAGTGTAGCGTCGTGTGTTTGCGGTGAAGATTCATGCAGGGACCATGCATTAGAAAGTTTTCCACCTTTGATCAGGATATTGTTGAAGGGTAGCAGATATACGTAACCAAAGGAGGCTTATGCTTCAGGAAAATCTCAAGGAAAAGTGTTGGCAACCCAGTGTGGTGTTGATTCGGCTCTAAAGGAAAAGGGGTGAGAGTTCAAGCGGTTAGAGAACGTTGGGAGATAGAAGTCCTTCTCCCAGAATATGGAGCCACAAAAGTAGTTCTGATGACAGATTTTGTTCTGTTTTTAGAGATGGTACATTCTTGGAAGTATGTGGGACTAAATAAATTCACTATCTGAAAGGGCGATTGACATGAAGCTCTATTCACTGAAGTTCTGAAAGCTGTTATCAGTACTGAATGAATTTATGTGTCTCTCGTTTTTGTGGAGAATAACTTATGATCTCTATAATGCTGAAAAAAAAAAAAAAAGAAAAGAGTATATAGTCGGGCGCAGTGGCTCACGCCTTGTAATCCTAGCATCTCTGGGGATGCGGGTGTGATGCGGCAGAGGTGCTGCGAGGGGCGAGTCGAAGACCAGTCCTTGAGCAAAAGCGCGAGACCCGGTATCTACTATTAAATAGAAAGAATTATTGCAACAAGATGATAGAAAGGAAAAGGAGTTGCGACGATGGGCTGGCGCAGCGGTGTCCAGCTACGTCGGGAGGCTGAGGAGGGGAGTCGCTTGAGCCGAGGGTCTGAGGGTTGCGATGAGCGAGGCTGACGCCCGGCAGGTCACTCGGCCTGGACGAGGGGAGTGGGTGTGGCGAAGAAGGCAAGAGGAGAGGGAGGAGAAGAAGGACGAGTAGGAACATGGGTAAGTTATAATGGAAATATAATAAAGGAGACAGGTTGGTGAGAAAGGAGACGCGTCTGCTGGAAGGAAGAAATGAAGAGTATAGTAAAAAATCCATTTTTTTATATGTATGAATTTTGAGAAGCTACAACAATCTAGAGTATAAATGAGAAGTTCATAGTCAGACTAATCTTAAAGGATTTTTTTTTAGAGTTTAGTAACTTGTATGTTATTTGGGTGTGTGTGGAACATTTTATTTTTATTTTTATTTTTTTTATTTCAGCATATTATGGCCAGAGATGGATACAGCTTTTAGTTTCAATAAATGCCATTCCCGCCTTAAATGAGATAGTATAGGGGGGAGCTTAAGTGGAGTGGCGCCAGGCAAGAGGACCGGGATGGCAGGTGTGAACTGGGCCGTAGGAAGGTGGGAGGAAGACAGACGGCCACAGGGGTCACTCAATGGACATCGCTGTGGTTTTCCAGAAACATCCTGTCCTTTCCTTGCTCGTATCTTTGGGCCGTGACTCTGACCAAGTAGCAGCTCAAGATTACGATGTTCGCAGAAGGCCCATGTCGCCAGAACACGCTGGTAAGGCAAACTCTACTCCTAAAGACATTGATACTTACAGTCATAGGTTTTAAAATATAGTATCAATGGCCCAGAGGAAGAGGAGAGGAAATAGATGAGTCTGGATCAAAGTCATGGGGAAAAAAAAAATTGGGGGCAGAAAGAGAAGGTGGGAATGGGACAGAGATTAGAAAAAAAACTTAATGAGGAAGTCTGGAAAGAAAAGATAATAAAACTCCCCTAATAAAATTCCAAAGCCAGAAACCCAGATGAGAAAAAAAAGAAAAACAATACGTGGACCCGCTCAATAGTTGCAAGAAAAATCTACCTGAAGATACATGGTTTAGACCAGACGATAAGAACAAGAAGAGCCACGAGTCAACTCTGTTTTACTAAATGAACAATATGTTATGAATTTATGGGGATAGTTCAGTATAGCATATACACTCCTGTTTAGAAGTGTGGCCATTGCTATCTTTGGATTTTAGGTAGACGGTTACCATTGTTGGGTTAATGGATTAGTAACAGAAGTTAAACTATTTTAATGGAAACAATTTTTACTTAAAACAATAAGATAGAGCCCCTCTGGAATATACCCAGATGTATTATATGAAAAAAAGTAAGCTGTGTGTTTAGCAAAGAGGTGATTCTGGGGCAGGTGGTCTGGGGCAAGTCTTACAAATACTGCATTTGTAAATGGATGGAGTGATATTTGTCACAAAAGGCCATGAATGAAATCCAGGGATTTTCAAATTTGTAACACATTCCTCAAGTGATTTTAATACGAGCCAAAGTTTGAAATCACTAGCATGGGCATCTTCCCCGGTGACCTTCAGGCCAGTCTCCAGGGTCTTCTATAAATCTGTGGCCTGTCCCCACCTTCCCCTGTATTAATTAGCCTGGCCTTGTGGGGACATCTCAGTCTATGATGAAGAGCCAGTTTGTCCTTGTGGATTTCCTGTCAGTTTGTAGCCAAACCCCTACTGATGGGCATTCAAATCGTTTTTAGTTGATCATTATTAAAATCAGTGTTACAATAAACATCTTTGGTCAAGTATAGTTGTATGTAGCAGTCGGGTAAATTCCTAGCCAAGTCTATTTCAAATATCAGATATGAAGATGCAATAGCAAGTTACATATGCCAGAAACCAGGTTTTTTTTTTTTTTAATTTTTTTTTAGGACTTGGTTAACTGTTATAAGAAACCAGGTTCTTAAAGCAAGTAGGTGAGCACTGCATTTTATGTAATTTGTCTCTGCGACTCTTACATCCACATACAATATACCCCAGTTAATTTCTAACTTCTGTGGCAGGCGAGGTCCAGCAGAGTCACCTGAAGATCTTTATCATGAAGAATAACCTCTGGAGCTACTTCTCCAAAGATTCTGATTCTCTGCTGGGTTCTAGGAATCTGAATTTTAGGAAAACTGCCAGGTGATACCAATACACAGCCAGATTTGAGCATCACTGCCCTGGGGACCCACGTCCAAGAGCTTCTAATGTTGAAAAAACAGAAAACGGCCACTAGATGGCAGCCTCACTCACTTTTTTTCAAACCCATTCTGAAATAAACAAGAGTTTGTTAATCTCATTCATAATTAAATTTGGAAATGATTATCTCCCTAAAGGAAGTCGTTTTTAAAGATATACAAGCAGGTGGCTCTCTTTCATAATGCTTCCAAATGGACTCGACTTCTCGGGCCCCTCTCGTGGGACCTGTGAACTTCACCGGGGCGCTCAATAAATTCATGTTGTTTGGCTCTACTCTCTCTCTCTCTCTCCTGTCTATTTCTTTCACCACCAGAAACTTTATAGAACCCTCATTTGTTCTCCATCTTCTGGATATACTAGAGATCAGTATCAATGGAAAGACTTAACATGTCATCAAGGTCCCCATCAGAATTCCAGAATAAATTATCCTAGTACTTTACATTTTTTTTTTTTAATAAAGACAATTTTGGGGAGGAAAATCCACCAAAATGGAAGCAATGAATGAAGTGAAAAAAAAAAAAACTATATCAGAATTGCCATTAATGAGCGCAATCACTGCTACTTATATTCCAGGTGATATCAGACTTTTACATGTGAATGGTCTGATCCCATGAAAACGCCCGTTGTAGTAAAGGGAAATGTGAACGACAGAGACAACGAATGCTTTCTTTAGGTGAATACAGGTGGTAGCTCAAAGTCATCTGTCCTAGCCTGCTATCTAGTGGAGAAACTGTGCATTTCTTCTCTCTGGTCAGATCTGGTTTCTTCTCTCCAGACTGGAGAGTTCGTTCACGGGTATTTCCTCCAAACACTGGCATCGTTTATATTGTCTTCCTCTATTGAAGGGAAACCGGAAACATTTCGGCATCTGAGATGTACTGCTATTGGATGCAGACATGGAGGAATTAGTCCAAACATGGAGGAACAACCCGTGTTTCAGCCATAGGGCTGCACTAGCTTCATTTTAAAAAAAAAATAAATAAACAGAGATTCCAAAATAGGGCAGAAAATTTCAGCCTTGTGTGTAGCTACTTAAAGGATGATGGGAAATGACCTAAATCTGCTTTTCTTTTTCTTTTTCTTTTTTTGTGCCAAAAGAAGGTTGCTTTTCCAGTCCTGGGACCAGGCCCAGTTCTGTCACTTATTGCAACCTGATACTCCTTCTACCCTCATCTTCCCAGAGTTCTCTGCTTGTAGACATCGACCTTGATTTTGCAACCCGAATCCATCTGTTCTTAGCAACTCCAGCCAGTCAGGGCAAGATAGCTGGTCCTGTTGAACATACCACGTAGCTCAGTTGAAAAAACATTCACTCAATGCACATATTTTGCAAAATTCTGGGGGATCCAAAGAGAGAAGAGATGCTCCTGGCTCTGATCAAAGGCTATGATTTAGTCAAGGAAAAAGGCAGACAAAAGAGACAGGTAGAACGTGGCAAGTCCAATAATGGAAAAATAATAAAGGACAGTCTCCTTACAGCAGTCCAAGAGCAGAGTGTAAGCTGTGGCGGTGGAAATCATGGCAGGACATGCATTTAGAAAGTTCCTTCCACTTTTGGACCGGGTATTGGTTGAAAGGAGTGCAGCCGAAACTGAACCAAAGGAGGCATTATGCTTCCAGAAAAATCTCAAGGAAAAGTGTTGCAAGCAACAGTCGTGGCTGTTGGATCGGACTCTAAAGGAAAAGGGTGGAGAGATTCAACCGGTTAGTGTGAAAGTTGGAGACAAAGTCCTTCTCCCAGAATATGGAGGCACCAAAGTAGTTCTAGACGACAAGGATTATTCTTATTTAGAGACGGTGACATTCTTGAAAGTATGTGGACTAAATAAATCACTATGAAATGGCATTGACATGAAGCTCATTCACTGAAGTTCTGAAATCTTTCATCATGTAAATAATTTCCATGTCTCTCTTTTATAAGAAACTAATGATCTCTAAACTGCTGAAAACAAAAAGAAAAAGAAATATAGGGCACAGTGGCTCACACCTGTAATCTAGCACTCGGGGGCCAAGGCGGCAGATTACTCGAGGTCAGGAGTTCAAAACAGCCTGAGCAAAAGCGGACCGTCTCTACTATAAATAGAAAGAAATTAATTGGCCAACTAAAAGATATAGAAAAAAAAATTAGCCGACATGGTGGCGCATGCTGTAGTCCCAGCTACTTGGAGGCTGAGGCAGGAGGATTGCTTGAGTCCAGGAGTTGGAGGTTGCTGTGAGCGAGGCTGACGCCATGGCACTCACTCTAGCCTGGGCAACAAAGTGAGACTGTCTCAAAAAAAAAAAAAAAAAAGCAAACAAAGCTGATTTAGTCAAAGAGAAAGGCCTAAAAAGAGACAAGATAGAACATGGTACGTCAATAATGGAATATAAATAAAGGGAGACAGGGAGTTTTGAAAAGGAGACAACGACTAGCTGAAGAGAAGAATGAAGATATAGTAAAAATCCATTTTCTTTAAGGTATTATACATTTAGAGAAGCTGCAGACAGTCTCAGCAGATAAATGAGAGCTTCACAGTCGATAATCTTAAATGAGATTTTTTTTTAAAGGTTAGTTAACTTTATTTATTTGTGTGTGTGTGTGAGAGAGAGACATTTTATTTTTTTATTTTTATTTTTTTTTATTTCAGCATATTATGGGGTACAGATTTTAAGGTTTCAAAAATGCCCATTTCCCCCTTAAATGAGATTATATGTAGTTTAGAGCTTAAACTGGATGTCCCAGCCAAAGGACCGGGAGTGGCAGTGGGTGAACTGGGGTCTAGGAGGTGGGAGGAAGACAGACAGCCACAGGAGGTCACTCAACGGACCATCGCTGTGGTCTTCGAGAAACATCCTGTCCTTTCCTTGTCTATCTTTGGGACTGACTCTGACCAAGCTAGAGCTCAAGACTCTACGATGGTTTGGCAGAAGCCAATGTTCCAGAAACAACGGCTCCTTCTCGTGGTCTTGACGATGAGGCTCAAAACGAAATAGGTCCCCATCATGGCCCCAACAGTGCAAGGGGTCTGACAACACACAGCAGGAAATATCACGGAGTACCCCACGGACAAAATGATTCTGCGCGAAACAACGGCATGCCACAGAGAAGAGGCCCCGGGGGTCACAGAAGACCCCATTTCTACGGGAGGTTTAGTTCCCCCAGAAAGGATGACAGTAGTGAGTCATCCTCTGACAGTGGCAGTTCCAGTGAGAGCGACGGTGACTAGGCCACCAGGAATTTGCATCGGGGTGGCGGGTTGAAGAGCCGGCCATCTGTGAGTCGTCACCGAAGAGAGCCACCTGGCAGCAACCCCAATAAAGAGGGGACAGAGCGGGGTTGGGGGAATGGGGGGTGGGAGGAATGGAGTGAGCCAGGAAGCCTGGTCTGCTTGGGGGGATTTTTGCTGTTTTAATGGTCATAGCATGAAATCGTATTCAAAGTTATAATGCTCTTTTTTTTTTTTTAAGTAAACAACAACGAAAAAAAAACTCATTAAGGATTGATGAAATAGGTAACATTTGAATAGGTGTCATTTTTAAATAGTTTGTGAATGTCACAAATGCTTTGCATTGTGGGTTGCTCTGTAGACATTGAAATAAACAATCTCCTCTCTCTCTTTCTCTCTCTCTGTTAATTTGTAATTAAATGATCTACAGGAAACTCTGCTGATTTCGGTTGCTTCATTTCAACAAGGTTAGCTCTGCCTTGGGCAAAGACAGTGCCTATAGAATGAATCCCCTGAGAAAGCTAGAACCATCTTTGCCTTTTTCCTCTGACCCCTCTCCGCGCTTACAAAAATATCCTACTTCATATTCTCCTAGGCGCTTTCCTCTGTCGCACACTTGTAACTTCTTATAAAAGGCAAGTATTATCTCCTGAAACCAATCTGCATGTTATTATTTTTCCCAATTCTCGCTCCTTCCAGACCAAGAGGATGATGAGGGTGAGGAGAGGGCAACAGGGAGAATCTGAGGAGAAACACAAATGCGAAGCCGAGACAGAAACTGAGTTGGGCAGGGATTGTGCGTTGGCTGATTCCAACTCCTTTCCAGCCTATTTCCTTTTCTTGTGTTTTAGTAGAAATGCTTTTTTTTTTCCAGCTAATGGTGGCCTTGTTACACTGGTCTGGAAATTAGACCTAAGTCTTGTGGTAAAGGAGGGGGGAAGAATTGGGGAAGGGCTTTTGTTTCTCCTGATCAGAAGAATTCACACAGCTGGTATACCGCCCTTCCTCCTTTCTTACTCTCTCCTTGGCTCTACGTGGACATGATGGCAGGAGGTGTGGCAGCCATCTTGTGGCCATGAAGCAAAGGGCAAAATAATCATAGGGGTGCCACTGAGCCAGCTCCATCAGCCTCCTCCCTCCAGTGTCCTTGTTCTATGAGAAAAATTCTCTATTTGTTGAGCCACTGTGGTTTTTTTTGTTTGTTTGTTTTTTGGTAATTGGTAGCTGAATTGAATTTTCAGTTAACACCTTTCCATTCCCGACATTCTTCTAAATGAGGAGGGCCAGGAGAAGAAGAAAGGGAGAAATAGAGAATAGAGAAAGAAAAGTGCACATGATTTCTCTCGTCTCGTTAAGATCTAAGCTCCCAAACAGCAGAAGTCATGACTGGCGCATTCTATACAGCACTTAGATTATTGAGTTGAATAATGTGTGTAGCAAAAGTGAATACAAGTCAATATCAATACAACATGGCGCCATCAAAAATATAAACGCCCACATTGGGTAGATAGAAAGTATTTTTTTTTACCAAATAAAAGTGGCCATATAAACTATGGAAGAAATAAGTTTCTCCACATAAATAATAATCACTAACATGATCTGCATAGTTACCAGGTGCCACGATCTGTTATATCCTGTAATTTGTTCAAGCTACTCTATAACATGGGGACCATGGCAATTTCCATTCTACAGATGAGGAAACTGAGACACAAAACTGTAAGTAAGTGGCCCAGCTAGCAAGGTAGAATTTATGCCCAGGGAGTTTGGCTCCAGACTCTTTGCTCTTAAATACTATATTTCCATATAGTAAAGATAGATGTACATAGTACATAATACACATTATATATGGTGTGTACAAACATGAAGCGTGTGTACATTCATGCACTATATACATATGTGTGCGTATATGCGTGTACACAGAGAGAAACTTGAAAGAATTGCTGAGTGGAACCTGTGAGGCTGGTGGCGGGGGCCCCCCTCCCCTCCCAAGATCAAAAAGAAAAGGCTCACGAGACCAGACCCGCCAAGGACAACTTCCAGGCCCCACTGAAAACAACAACACCTGGATGTTCACCCAGTTAAGAAAGTTTTCAGTTCCTGGATTCCCCAAATATTGCCAGCCCCTCCTATTTCTTAATAACCGCCAAAGGTCACAGTGGAAAATCCCCGGCTCTTCCCACCAAAAGTCTCTGGTCCGCCTCAAACAGTATAAAAGCCCTAACCCCTTCCAAATGGACTCGACTTCTCGGGCCCCCTCTCGTGGGACCTGTGAACTTCACCCGGGAGCGCTCAATAAATTCATGTTGTTTGGCTCTACTCTCTCTCTCTCTCTCTCTCTGTCTATTTCTTTCACCACCAGAAAACTTTATAGAACCCTCATTTGTTCTCCATCTTCTGGATATACTAGAGATCAGTATCAATGGAAAGACTTAACATGTCATCAAAGGTCCCCATCAGAATTCCAGAATAAATTATTCCTAGTACTTTACCATTTTTTTTTTTTTAATAAAAGACAATTTTGGGGAGGAAAATCCCACCAAAATTGGAAGCAATGAATGAAGTGAAAAAAAAAAAAACTATATCAGAATTGCCAATTAATGAGGAAGAGATTCTTGATTCTCTGCGGTTCTAGGAATCTGAATTTTAGGAAAACTGCCAGGTGATACCAATACACAGCCAGATTTGAGCATCACTGCCCTGGGGACCCACGTCCAAGAGCTTCTAATGTTGAAAAAACAGAAAACGGCCACTAGATGGCAGCCTCACTCACTTTTTTTCAAACCCATTCTGAAATAAACAAGAGTTTGTTAATCTCATTCATAATTAAATTTGGAAATGATTATCTCCCTAAAGGAAGTCGTTTTTAAAGATATACAAGCAGGTGGCTCTCTTTCATAATGTCCATATCCCTTTACTATAAAACTCCCTAATAGCAAACAAGGACTCTTTTGTTTGAATAATAATAGTCACTTCTCCCCCCCCAACTTTAATCCAGATTTTCTTTTTTTTTTTTTTTTTTGCACACATCTCTCCTATAAAACTCTGAATTTCCTGTTTCCTTAGGTAATTCCTTAGCTGGAATTCATCTTCATTAAAAATATCTCTTTTGCTTGTCTGGATCTCATTAACGCCCAAGACCAGCTGTGCTTACTTTTGTGAGGCTAAATCCTGTGACATGAACACGTTGCCATTCTCTTTCTAACTTGTTCCATAGAGGTGCACAAATTCTTGGAAGGAATCTTAGAGCTCATCTGGTCCAGTACTCATGTAAATCAGGTTCACTGTGTTTTATCCCTAGTAGCTGATAATTTTGCCAATGTTTGCATACTTACACTAACAGGGAGCTCATTACCTTACAGTCTTGGTGCTAAACAGAATGATTTATTCTTTTTTCCACATGATATCTTTCATGTCTTCTACAAGTCTCGTCATCAAATTAAACATTTTTCAGTGACCTTCACCACATTTGTCCCTTCCAATTAGTTGGATACAATATTCCACATATTGTTTGAACATGTCAGCACACAGTGTGACAGTCACCTCTGGTCAGTCTACTCAGGCCACTCACTCCTGGCCATACAGTGTAGGATGTTATTAGACTCCTTGGTACCACAAAAATCCCTGTGCAGGCTCGGTCTAAAAATACAAGCTGAGTTAATATCAGTTTCCCCTGCTTCTTATTTAATTTCTAATTAGATAAGTACTAACCTTCTGGGTTTTTTCCTGTTTGCTTACTCCATAAAAGCCGATATTAGACCAGCTCTGCCCTTTATATCATGTTATATCATTTATTTCCAAACCAAGATGCATAATGTTATATTTCCTAATACTATTTTAACAAGGTTTTCTTCCATCTTGATTTTGTGAGCCTATGTATTAACCATCACTCCCAGTTTTTGAGAGGCAAATACCTCCTGGGTGTTCATCTAGCTGTTCGTAGGAGCACTAAATAGGGGAGAAGGCAGGCCAGGACAGCTCTCCTGTGGGCTGATGCTGGTTTATTAATCAATACTTTTCAAGTGCAGCAGCTCAGCTAATATGAACACACCCTATTATTCCTAGATTTGCCCACCAGAGAATGTTATCAAACCCTTGCTGATATCAACATGCTGAGCTCTACATTTTCCAAATCTCTAAGACCAGTAAAACTGTCAAAAGATGAAATCAGAATAGCAACAAAACAATGCAAAAAAAAAATTGTGATAATGTAGACTTAAAAAAATAGATGACTCTCTGGGAAGTTGGAAAGATTCCATCAAATGACAACTGAAATTACAACTAAAATCTCTGAACACGTGTAAAACAAGCCAAAGAAAACCTGAAAGGTGGAGAGAATTAGGCAGACTGGCCAGGGACCTTAAGACTCATGGAATGACAAGATGGCAAGGTTCCTGGGTTTTCTTTTTGTCATGTATCATGAATTTGGAGCTGAAGATCTTGCCAACCCAGGAATGCCAACAAGCGCAGACCAAAAAAGCTCCAACAGTAGCCTGCACACTTTAGCCAAAGGAACAGGGAAGGGCAGCCCAACAAGACCAAAAAGTTTTAGACAATAGCCACTCTACCTGGTCAAACACCACAGAAAAACGTGGGGCCCCAGCCCAGCCCATGCAAGCAATGGCTGAGTGGGGGCCCAGACTTCCACCCTCAAGAGGCTGTCCCACAATGCTCCAACCCCACTGCCATCACCACCGGGGTGGTGTCAGAGAAGGATAAGAAGGGAGATGGGACTTCCATTCCAGCCGGCCTGTGACAAGCTGGCCCTGTGGGGTCAATGGAGACCAAGTGGTGATCCAGAACTTTCTCCCCTGTCTGGAGT